TTGTTTAAAAAAGTGAGTTGATTTGTTATATTGAAATGTCTCCTGGGTGAGGAAAAATACAGTCTTTAGAGGACAGTTTAGAAACAAATTTGGGACCGAGCGATCAGAGCTTAGAAAGTTGCTTGTGCCCTGGTCACCATCTTCCTGGAAGTCCCGGCAGTGTCACTCACACTGTGGACATTTCAGGGGTGTCAATCATTAAAATCAGTAATGTGATGCTTTTGTTTTTTTTCTTTTACGTTTAGCCAACATTAACTAAACATGATAAAGAATAATTTAAATCTCATTTAAACATTTTAATTTACTGAATAAATACAATAACCAAACAACAGTCAGTAAAACATGTAGATGTTCCAGTCATGTCTATAAAACACGTGAACCAATGTGGACACAGATAAAGGGAATAATGAAAATAGTTTTTCCGAGGTGATTCTTGCAGAAATTTGTGAGCTTCACCAGAGTGAGACATCTTCATTATTTTGGATCTCTGACCCGAGCTTCGTTTTAGTTCACGAAAATCAGCACAGAGTGAGACTTCTTCATTTATTTTATATTTCCTCTTGGCATACGGCCCTAGTTGACCTCAAGTCAAGCTACGTATAACGTTGTTTTCCGGTTAAGATTTTCAAAATAAAACAGTAAATAAATAGTTTTAAATTAATCAACTATAATTGCCGGTGTTTAATGTTTAATTATTGTTAGGATAAATAAGCTAAAATGTAGAAACATTATAAAATAAAAATGTCTCTAAAAAATAGATTTTCTTCTGATGCCAGATCATTAGGATTTACAATCTAGAATTCTACAAACGTTATTATGACAGAAAAAAAATATTAATACACATTAGAGAAATGGCTAATTGGTGCATGGGGTTTTGGTTTCATGCTTTATTCTTTTAAATTTTAGGGTCTTTTATTAGATTGATTGTTTATTGACATTTTTAAGTTAAAAATGTGCACACTTGTAAAACATATACAGACATAACTCTGTTCAAGTTGTTTTATTATTATTCACTAACTGTGACACTTTAACACATTTTTACAAATTGTAAAACAGAAACAAATGTAACTATAATTAATACAAACTATTTTACAACCAATTTTTTAGGCTCCTATTGTGTTTTGAAAGGCGAGGTTGTGGCCGGTAGTCGTTGATTCTGACTTCCGGGATTGACGGCGCGGCACTAGTGCGGAAGTCCTTTCATCCAGCGGGAGGAGAGGAAGAGGAGGTAGCTCTTCGTCTCAAACTTTACGCCTGAGCACAACAAACGGTTCTGGGGAGGAAGACTCCGGAGTCCAGGTACATCCTCTCTCCGACACCAGCAGGTCCTCCGCGGGGCCTAGCTACCCACGGTGAGTCCGCAGCGCTCTGTCCGGCCTACGGAGCCTCCTGGTCGGGTAATGCGAAGGGGCGGAAAAAAGTCCCCGCGGCCTGTTGGTCTCTGTGCGGTGGCAGTGCGGGGGTGGCGGGTTGTATGCGGGAGAGATGTGGCTCGGCAGCGTCAGATTTAGGCATTTACGTGTTCCTCATCCGGTAGAGATTTTCAAAATAAGAAGCCTTTATTGCCGCTTTTGAGTTTCAAAGTGTCGTTTTCCGCACGACATAGTATGTAAAATAATCAAACAAAGTTAATACGCATTATTTTACCATTTACTAAGATAATTTTTTATTTTTTTTCCCAAATATATTTAATTGGAATATAAAATTTTGTCAAAAAAGGTAAAATATATGATGCATTTCTGAGGCGTTATTGTTCAATATACTGATCAGGTATTATATGTGTCCCAGACCATCAAAGTTTTTATTTTGTTTTCTGTCTCAATCGGGATTTAAAGTAACCCATTAACCACAAAGAGCGTTTTTTTGTTTGTTTTGTTTTTCGTGAGCCTTTACTTTGAAAGCATAGATTTTGTGACATCCGGTAGGATCGATCGATGCTAATAGCAGTTAGCTTACCGCAGCTAGCCGTAGCGGAGCTCCGTCTCCATTTTAACTCCTGTTCTCCCCGGCCTCTCCCTCGGCTGTCTGCCCGGACACATCCTGACCTGTCTCCCCCACGGCGTGTAAAGTTCAGCCGGTGTGTCCGTGACTTTTCCCACGAGGGTCCTGCCGCACTGGACCGGGAGTTTGGGTAAACAAAGTCCGGGGAAGTGGAAGCGCTCTTATGTCGTGGGTTTTTTCTGCAGAGTTTGGTTGGACGCGGGGGAAAAACCAGACTTGAGCAGGTCAGGTTACTTGTAGAAGGCTGTGTTTAGGTGTAAAACACGGCAGGCCCCCGCAGGTCTAGTTGCGGTCCTACTGACCCACTTTATGTCCAGTAAATATGTCCTAATATCACCCCCAGCCCTCCTACAGGAGTGTTTTCATGTCAGCAAAAAGTCTGAGTAGGAGGAAAGTTTGCTGAAGGAAATATCCCAGATAAAGTAAAAAGAGGATATTAACATGCTCGCATTTGTTTGCTCAGTTTAATCATCATTATAAACTATAAGTAAAGTTTTATTGAGAGGATGTTTGTTCATTCATTCACATAATCTGATTTTAATTGTCTGTACTTATCGTTTTCTTAATCCTACATGTATCAAAATCTTCAGCTCATTAAGGAGATTGATGCTGTCACTTATGGTTTTTTAACTTATATATCCTGATGCATCTCAGTAATCCAGGTAAAAAATCAAAAAGAAAAAAATTGTAAAGGTCTTCTGGACGGGTTCTTCTCTAATGAAACGTTTCGTCTCCTCAAGAGACTTCTTCAGTCTGAGAGTTTCAGGCAAAATTAAGGCTTTTAAGCACTGCCTCCATGTGACTGATACTCACATCACATGGCTATCGTTGCCACCTAATTAACACCTATTGTTAACAGGGGATGGAGTGATACTGGCAATAGCAGCACTGTAGGAGGGGGACAACTGAAAACGGAGGCCTCCACCTCTGTTTAATGATGGACGGTCTTTCTTCACAAAAATGGCTTCTTTTACTCATGGCTTCTTTTCTTCTCTGAAGAAAGACCGTCCATCATTAAACAGAGGTGGAGGCCTCCATTTTCAGTTGTCCCCCTCCTACAGTGCTGCTATTGCCAGTATCACTCCATCCCCTGTTAACAATAGGTGTTAATT